ATGATTTAAACAAAAGCTCACTTCAGATTATTTACATGATTGTAGATTAAGCATCTACATTATTCCACATCTTCAGTCTTGCGGATTTTGTATCCGTTTCAGCAACTGTTGGAATGAGAAATATAATGAGTCGCCTTTCACAATTTTTGCTTTATCCGATACAGCAATCGGGAACGAGAGAACTGATTCCAACTGATCTCCCATTCCGATAAATATATGGAGAAACGTCGGGACCGTATTAGGAAAATACTCCGTTGAGTATACACTGTCGTATTTTTCGTATCGCTTCGACCATACTTCGTTCGGTTCGGATGCGTTGAGTGTACGCTGGCAAGAGAGGAAAAATAGATAACAGAACCGACGTTCGCGGTCCGTTCGTTTGCGTATCAATAAAAGAGCGAAAACGAGCCTTGGGAGAGCGAGTCGAAGATATGAAAGATGCACGCTCGTGTGCGCAACATTACCGGAAAGAATTTGGCGTGCGCAATTACTGCTCCTCTCTCCCTCCCTCTGTGCTGTTGCTGCCACTGCTGCTGCTAGTTTCCGTTCTTTTTTTCCACATGTCCTTGTTCCTGCGTTGCTTACTTTATGTCTTCTTCGTCTTTTATTTATCTCCGTCCTTCTCGTTCTGTTTAATATATGTACACGTGGTTGCACATGCGCGCGAAAATTTACATCGAACTGTGTAAAAAAAAACCGCGCATCCCAGTATGGACTGCGGTTGCCGGACATTGAATAAATATTTCTTCTCGGTAAGGCAAAAAGGAAGCAAAGTGATATGTACACGATTCTTTTGCAATTCAATTTCTGCCAGTGGGAGGCGAATTTTAGATTAAACTTGCAATTAGATGGCAATAAATGCTCCAGTTATGAAATATAAAGGAAATATTGACACGCACGCAGAATTAAATTGAAACGTTGAAGGGAGCATTGTTATTTCATATTTTCTATTTCTTGAAACACACACACATACGAGTATAAATATATATATATATATAGACTTATATGTATATATCGATCTTACTGCGACGAGACGCGAACGACTTCCGCAAGCTTCCAGCTGTACAGGATCTTAATGGTCTGATTTTATGGAAATCGCTGTAAGCTTCTGCCAGCTGTTCCCATTACGTTCCCGTTATGTTCTGTAAAACCCCCTGTGCCTTCGACTCTCAGTTCTTACGGAGTACAGCGCGCGCGTTCGCTAGAAAAACGCCGTAAAAAAATTTAATCGAAAAAGAAATAATCTGCAATTGCGAACATCCGTCTGGTATCTACAGCGTGTGTGTCAGATAAAAACTATATTAAACTGACGATAACTCAGTTTATCGAGAGTAAGCTACCTTGCTATCTCTCTCTCTCTCTCTCTCTCTCTCTCTCTCTCTCTCTCTCTCTCTCTCTCTCTCTCCCCCCTCTCTCTCCCTCTCTCTCCCTCTCTCTCTCTCTCTTCTCGTCGATGATATAAAAGATATTGACTTTTCTGAGTGCGCTTGTTCGTAAAAAATACTCACGGATCAGAAATGAATCGCGTTCCCGTCCGCCATTCGACTGGACTAGTTTCCGATCTATCCGGGTCTCTTCGCGGCTCAACGAGCGAGTGCTCACAAAAGAGCGCCTCCTCCCTAAAAGTTTACTGCGAACCTCCTTCCGATACTGGCGGAAGTTGGGCGAGAAAGGGAGAACCGCGCGCACGCGAGAGAAGCGCTGAAATCTCAGAGACGGCAAATCTCCACCTCGGCTCGCGAATAATAAATATGCATGCCGCCGAGAAGCATTAGCGGGAAGTAACTCTTTCCTTTGGAGAAATGCAAAAACGCGCGTACCCGCGGCGCGTCTAACCGGGAAAGTATTGTTCTTCCGGTCCGCTTTTACGCTGCCCGAAAACGTCCGTTGGAATCTCGAGGTAAATTGAAGAAGAAAGCTCCTGCTATTAGCTGCCGGTGCGCGTAAACGGAATGTTTCTCTCCAAAGTCGCGAAAAAAGTCGCTGAATTTGAAATTATTATGATATTTCGGGACACCGTCTAAATCTAGAAACACAGCTGGTTAATATGATTCGACTTTGAGACGGGTAGACGATAGATAATTTTATATAATTATATATGAACTTTGTCTCTATGTAGCTATATATAAACATACATATTAATATATATGTTAACACTGAAAAGAAAGCTGTTGTACGAATACAATTGAAGTAACTGCTTATGTTTACAGCCGTCCGCGAAGTATAATTATTATTACAACGTAAGGAGAATACAAACAGCGGTTTAACTGAGAACACTGCATAATTTTGCAGAAACGCGAGTCACGCTGTTAATCCCGCCGAACGATACGCACGATCCGTTGATTGGCGCACTGCGTGCAGAGATGGGAAAGAATGAGCTAAAACAGGAGAAAGGGCTTGTTTTTTTCATGAAAACTTATCGGCGTGACGTGTAACAAATATGACGTATGACGTTATCTGACTCGAATGTATTGCGCTTTCGAGTGTTGACTCGCCACGTCAGTAGCGAAATAAAAATGACGAAATGAAAACGGTGTCGCGTTTTAAAATAATAAATAAGATCAGTTGTTGCACGAACGTAACGTTGTGCCAGGTGGAAAGAAATTACAACGGTTTGAATTTCTCGCTTTTTAATTAAACGCTAATGACATCATTATAAGATACGCTCCGCGTGTTTATATACACGCGGAGACATTTACTTAGTGTTCTGCATCGCGTCAAGCGTGTATGTTTCAAGAATACTTTTTTAAATTAGTTTATTTCGTCGGCGATACTTGATAATATTATTAAATTCTTATTCGTGAAATTTTATAAGAGCAAATTTACGACAGCTCTTGATAACGCGCTGCTCGGTGATTAAACAACACGACAACGAGGTCGCGTTCTCCGTGTTCGTATTTTAGAACTTGTTTCGTATCGTCCGGCGGAAGAGGAACGGGAATTTCGTATACGAACGGAGAAACGGGTTGCTGTCAGCAGCAGCAGTAGCAGCAAGCGGGCGTAACGATGTTGTTATTTTACTAGTCAGCGTGGCCATGAAATAGCCCGTTGGAATATCATATTCGGTGGATCAAGCGCATAGAGACATTCTCGATGTAGTCACATTGTTTGCCCGGGGAGTATGCCAGGGGTATCGCTAATTGACTAAAAAGAAACGAGGCTGTTCCATCCATTAAGCGCGCGCGCACGCACGAAGGAAGGTTCGCTATGTGAAGTCTTGGATTATGCAATTGCAAAAGCGAAGAAGTCGCGTTATCATTCATTCCCTCATATTTTCATTGTATCGCTGATAATTATTGCTGATTACGATTGCCCTAAATATTTCATCTGAGATTTCGTTCCGAGATTGTATCCAAAAGTACTCGATATAATACGAATATATTGATTCTTCATATCACGATAAAATATATCGCTGAGCATTGACCTCTTGCACGGAAAAGGGATATTTGTACGTTTGGCTGAAGCTAACGAATATTATCATTATAGACCAAGGCTTTTTATGTGAGAGAGCTTCTCTTTAGAAGTTATGGATATTGAAGAGATCCGAATCTCCTTCTTAATATTATTTCTTTATTTTAATATTATTATCATTTGTCAGAGCAACGCGCAGCGTTTTTTCTATTCTGTAATATTTTGTAAATGTCTCAGAGGTACAGTTTGCTAATCACAATCTCACTCGTATGTTCGTAACTCTGCAAAAAGTATGTAAGGATGTCAAAAACCACTGTCGTGTCCCTCCTGGAAATAGGGTCTCAAAGGGTTAATTAAAACGGTGTCATCCTTGCTGCGGAAAAATGAAACACGATGTGCCGACCATAGGGAAGAAAAAGGGAAGCCGTACGGAACGTTGTTTTTAATGGACGAGCCACTAGAAGGAGGAAGAGCCGCGGCTAAAGGAAATCTCGGTTAGCTTTAGTAACCACAGAATATTAGCTTCAGCAAATTGCGATCAATGATGAAACTGTATAAAAAATACATGGAACTAATTGATAATAACATAAAAGAAAATCGTAACGTCAGGCAGAAATTAGCAAAATATAATTTTTTTCCTGAGACCTTTGTATTAAATTTTTGAAAACCAGAAAGAAACAAAAATTTCAGAGATTTATAAAATTAATCACATGCGCATATGATGAAACGAAATCCTTTTGATTTATTTGTAAAGAACAGTCATATTGTACAAAGAGAAGTTGCGTCGATATTTATCCACAATTTTTATGAATCGTTAGTGTAGCAAAAACGGCTTGGAACATTTTTTTGTTTAATCTGGCGCGTGTGCTCTCGTCGATTGTTATCTCTATGTGTTTTTTCAGTAAATTGATAATATCTGTGGTTTCCATATGCCAGTTCACAACCGGTATCGCGTGACACGGCAATTTATACACATCAAAAAGAACAAAAGTGACGTGACGTGACTTTGTAGCTACTCTTGCTGTTTAATCTATAATTGTCTTTGATGTAACTCGTAAGCATCCGCCAGGTCGTGGAGCGCCTATTATCCAGATGACGCAATGGTCACGTTTCCCGTGGACCGTTTATGACGAGGGCGGAAATTCTCTATGGCTGGATTTACGATTCGGATGTCATTAAGCCTTTCGTGGCGGCGCGGTTTGGTCGCGGCGTCCGTACTGCACAGAATATTAAGGCATTCTACGAGATTTACGAACGAACGGGATAAAATCGCCTCGTGCCTGCAACGGAGCGGCGATCGGAAGCAGTTGTTTGCGCGATTGGTAACTCATATTGATAATAATTTCGTTCCTCCATAATTCTCGCTTCCCCCGTTCCGCCCGATTCTGTTTATCTTAAAAACGAAGTCGACAACTTCGTAAAATGAATTTCGCTCGTGTGTCACCGCGGTCTATATTACTTTGCATAATTCTCCCTTGAGGACCTGAGATTCTCCCGATTAACGCGCACCGATACCGACACTACACTAGCTCGAACGTTTCCACAAGATTATATTTTAGACGAAAACGCAATTTAGGTACACGCGATAAGACGCCCTCGTTGGTTGTGTATAGTTCCCCGCGCTTTAATTCGCATACATTTCTCGCAGCTGCTTCCTCGAGATTTTGCCGGTGGCCGTGCGCGGCAATTGATCCACGAATTTAACACCGCCGCGTAGTCTACAATGATCCGGCATGTTTTTCTCCACAAACCTGACTAGCTCCGCCTCTGTTATCTGCACGTAAAACATAAACACACGATGTCGGACGCATTTCTATAAAACTTTAAATGGATCGGGCTGCACCGCCGCACAGTGGAGTTGAATCTACTGCTCTGGACTACATGTTAGCATACATCCGATACATGTTAGCTAAATGAAATAAAATTTGTATGAACTATTAAAAAATTACCATATCAGTTAAACCATAATATAACATAATATAAAAACACGTAATACGTTTTAACAATTTTATATCATTGTACAATTTAAAATCGAATTAATCTTATTCAATTTCATATATTTATGTTTCTACTAATTGTAAGCAAAAATTTACCATATAGGATATAATATATTTACTATTTGCATGGTAAATTTATAGCATACTTTCTTGAAATCTTTGCTATTGTACGAATATATCCCAGTTGCACGATACAGACTGGTAAATTGTTCCATAAAAATTTTCTGCGTGTACGGCTTAGGGTATATGCGCAGTTTTAGAGAGTTAGAGGTTATGAAGTTAGTGTATATGTATATTATACACTGCTCAAAAGAATTATGGCATAGATAATTTATTGTCGAAATTTGGCCAACTTTGACTGGCGATTACTTCGCGAAAAATTATTGTAGACTAATGATTCCTTTTTTTTTCAAAATGAAGCTTGAAGTCTCTACTTTAAGAATGTATCTCCATTTTTTTCATGCGATGCACCCCTACCCCTGTAACCCCTGACATCTGAGGGCATGTTTGATATACTGAAAATTGCAAAGTTTGACGAAATGCACGGACATGGACAATTTTTTTTCGGGGACGCCGTTTGCACCGTCATAAAGTTCAAATCTTCCCCTTCAATTTGAAAAGAAAAATGGGGTCGCTACAATTTTTTTCGCAAAGTTACAGCCTTTCAAAAATGTTTTTGATCTTCGGGCCAAGTATTGAAGACGCACCTACACGCGCACACACACACATACAGACACAGACACACACACGCGCGCGCGCGCACTCACGTGCACGGAAAGGAGGATTTGGAGTCAATAATTACTGTGGAAGTGACAAACCACGGGGTTCTTATCTCTTCTGTCACGAACACACACACACACACACACACACACACACACACACATGCGTACACACTTGGCCCGAAGGCCAAAAACAACGATATTTTTGAACGGTTGTAACTTTGCGAAAAAAAATTGTAGCGACCCCATTTTTTTCAAATTGGAGATTTGAACCTTATGACGATGCAAACGGCGTCCCCGAAAAAAAATTGTCCACGTCCGTGCATTCCGTCAAACTTTGCAATTTTCAGTATATCAAACATGCCCTCAGAAGTCAGGGATTACAGGAGTAAGGGTGCATCGCGTGCAAAAAATGGAGATACATTCTTAAAGTAGAGACTTCAAGCTTCATTTTGGGAAAAAAATCATTAGTCTACAATAATTTTTCGCGAAGTAATCGCCAGTCAAAGTTGGCCAATTTTCGGCAATAAATTATCTATGCCATAATTCTTTTGAGCAGTGTGTATACTCACACATGCACACACGTATAAATATAGGCAGATAAGAGAATTGTGTAAAAATAGTTTTACCGAAAGGATTTTTTTTATTTTTTTATTTTTGTTAAATAAAAAATTTGCAAAACTTTTTCCGCAAAATCGGCCACGACAGATTTGTGCGGAATTTCATAAGCTTTTATTAAAAAAAAGAATCGTTTAAATCGAACAAAAATTGAAGTCTGTAAACTGATTTGTCCAGAGCAGTAGATTCGGCCCCACTGTGCGCCGTGTCTTGGAAAAATGCGCTTGCGACGCACTTACCGATTTATCAGGCATTCGGAGAACGAAAGCTCTCGGATGTTGCTCGTCTACTTCATCAGGTATTCCTAGCACTGCCGCTACGAATACCGCTGGGTGAGTAATTAAAACATCTCGATCTCTCCGGGCGAGACGGTGATGCTTCGAAAATTGATAAAATCGGATATCCTGTCGACAATGTATATCTCCCCGTCATCGTTGTAATACGCCAGATCGCCACTGTGGAACCAATCTGAAACATTTCGCGTTACCATGTGTTATCCGCTGATTTTCCCCCCCTTCCTCCTCTTTCTGTCTGGATATAATATATAAAATAATTCAAGCCTCCGAGTGTGTATTCGTGCTTCCTATATGGTTGATCAGCTTTCATCGAACGTTCAAGATTCGTACCGTCGGAATCGAAAGCCTGTTTCGTCTCTTTCGGATTATTATGATATCCTTGCATCATGGTGACAGTTTTCACACGTAGTTCCCCGACCTTGTTAGGTCCAAGCGCTTCCTCCGTTTCCTGATCTGCTATCTTTATGCGGACGGTACTTGACACGTAACCCACAGATCCTAGTGTGGTAGTTCTAGTTGATGCACTGCATATACACGCCGTATCGGTGGTTCCTACGCGGAAACAAAACAAATTTCTTGTTACAACTGGAAACTTCCCCTTTACTAGGGTTGTAAGTTATAACAAAAGCGAATGCGAAAGCGAAAGAAAAAAAATTTTTTTGTGAAAGTGAAAGCGAATGCAAATGTGAAAGTGAAAGATCTTATTTCTTTCTATTGAATGATGCAAATGAGTAAATTAGTAACTTCCCAGACAACACAATGTCCAAAATCAGGATGTAAGACGTCTTTAAGTCGTCTTAAAGACGTTTTATATTATGACATCTTAAATTCCATTCCCACTTCGTACAAGTGAAGCGAGTGAAGTTGGCCCCGCACTTTTCGAATTTTGAATTTTTCTTTATTGTGCTGTATTGTGCTACGTTCATGCTGATGTGCCGTAAACGTGAGACCGATAACTTCAATAACATTTGCGACAAAAATAAAAACGAAAATTTGTCAGCTCCCCACTTTTGTCCGAATGAACCCAATATTTGTTTGTGAATTCCTACTAATTTGTGCTGCATTGTACCATTTGAAGAAACTGAATATCTCCTTTCGTTCAGTAGAAAAAAAATGTTAAAGTTAAAATACAAATTAACAAATAACTTTTTCTACAATGCATTTATCGCAAATCTGCAAGTTGTGCTGAATTGTGCTAATCGTGCGGAGCCAACTTCACACACATCCACTTCATCATAAAAATACCAAATAAAACTGGATTTTGGTTTCATTCTTATTATTATCACTTATCACATCATACTTAGTTATTTAATTATTATAATTTATATCACGCAGAAGTTTACTTGCACTGATTTGTTTTCAATAAACACTAAGCTCTAAAGTCTAAAGTGCCTCTAGACCGGCAAATCAATGAATGAAACATAAACTGCACTCCCCCGCCATGCAGTGTGTCCCCAGCAAAGCTGCGAATCCCGCGAACTGGGCAAAATCTTTCGCTAAAACTTTCGCATAATTAGTTGCGATAGCGAAAGCGAAAGCGAGAGTCTAAAACGATGCGAAAGCCTCGCTTTCGCATATGCGAAAGTGAATATTCGTTACAACCCTATCCTTTACCACATGCGCACGTACAGTGAGAAATTGCTGATTTTGTTTTCAAATTATACTAACAAATAGCATTTTCTCTCTTAGCGAAGACTTGCGTATCGAGAATATTTTCCGAGTTTATTATATTTTACATTATCGTTAAGGCATCGTTAACTTAAATTCCACATGAGCGGGTCGAATACTATCACGTTAAAGAACGTTACGTGTTAGAGATATAAGGCGATATTACAAGATTAAGGTTCGGCTCGATGGAAACGCGCACTCGGAACGAATTCGGTAGCCCCAGGCTAATATGAGTTTGAGTTTTATAGATTAAGTCTAAATATACAATCGAGGGTGGAAAGATAAATAACACTCGCTTGATTTTTCGGATCGAACCATCTCACCATCTCACCATAATTGTTACTAACGAAGACACCGGGTAGTTTCTCGCGCAGTGCTTCTAGATACTTCTTTTTGAGGTGGGCGCCACTAGATATAATTACTTTTAAGGTTGGCATTCGATATTTGTCTAGCAATTTGTTCTTAATCAATTTAATTAACATGAACGGGTCGGTGGCAGCCAATGTTACCTGTAAATCATCGAGGCAATGTTAATCAAATGGGTCTAGCGTCGAATCTGCTTAAGAATGACTTTTCTTCTTACGCGATATTTCTTGATAATCCGACAGAAACCTTCAGCGTCGTCGTCATCCGGTACGATGATCTTTTTCGCGTTCGCGGCGATAATCTTATAGGCCATCAGAACACCGTAATGCCAACGTATTGTAGATGTAACTATGCAAGTGTGATCTATAAGATCGCAATATTTATCAGGCTGCATGCTGTAGTATAAAGAATAATGTGAGACTTCTGTGCCTTTTGGTAGACCCGTGGTGCCAGAAGAGGGAACAATGATAGCAATGTCATCCGGCTGTGTAGTGAAGCACTTAAATTCGTCGATATCGCGAGTGTCGTGATCCCTCATAACGTCCTCCTCCAATGATTCATATCCGTCCAATTTATCGAGAGTTATCACTTTCAAGTTCATACCGAGCTCCTTAGCCGCTTGCGTTAAACTCGCGGCCGATGAACTTATCGTGAAGACGATTTTTGGCGATGTCAGAGAGAGGAAGTATCGTGCCATCACTGAACATATGCGAATCGATTAATTAAAAGCGGACTCGTTGAACCTGTTACACATCTAAAGAGCGATGGCAAAAAGATGGCTGTTTTTCGCCCATTTTTTGGACCTTGAATTTAAAACTTTTTTTTATGCCAAATATTACTATATGATGGGACATTAATCCCACAGAAATTTTAAGATGAACATAGGCACGATTCCGGAGATATGAAAGGATAAAAGTGATGGTTTCTCATAATCCATGAAAGTACACGAAACTCTTCAAATGTCCATATCAAGGAATAAAATATATGTAACAAAGTGAAACATATCGTTTCTTATGGATTTTTTTACGCCGGATTCAAATATGACTTTGGTTTTCGTTTAGCATGAAAATTCCCCGAGACAGACGGAGTTGAAGTGACACTTGACACCGTCTCTCACAGATTGGGGTGCTTTTTCAATGTGCATCGTGAATGAGAATTAATACTTTGACGATAAATCGAGAGATCAGTTCTTCAGTATTTGGATCATCATCCGTTTAGGATCTTGAGATGATTTTTGATCGATTACTAAGTTGGTAACAGCTTTTACATATTTTGCTCTGTGATGGAATATGGTTCGATTCTTCTAATTTCCGTTCCTTCGGATTATTTTTCCCCAAATTGCTAACCATCATCAATTCGGTATGTCTTCGATAGGAAACAACTTATTATCTTTCGATTTTTTTTTGATCATTACAATCTAAACATTTAGTGAAAGGCATTGCTTTATTGAGGAATCAACGATCGTCAAGATATGAAAAAATATATCTGAAGAGACAAAAGAATGTAGAAAAAATTTGGATGAAATAAAAGAAAAGTAGCGAGAAATTCACTTCAGCAATCAACAAATAAGAAAATGGAGAACAAAGAAACAAGTAACATCAAAATAAACGAAAAATCAATTGAGAATATTATAGTCTTGAGCGAGACAAACTGTAAAAAAGGACTCCAATTAGACTTGTCAAAAATATAATAATAACTTCCGACACGCAAATACAAGCTTGTTTGTTCACACAATTTGTGGAGTATACTTCATATGATAGTAAAGTACTTCAACTGCGAAAGAATTTGTGAGTGCATCATGTAGCGAAACTGTATCTTTCAATTTGAGTATTTCCTCGGTAATTGAATTGCTGCAGACTTAGTCAGTGATTAATAGGGAACGTATTTTCAGGGTACTGTATAAAGTACCCCCCCCCCCCACTATAAATGAAATAGCGGTGAATAGTTGATCGTTCATTCTCTGAACAATGAATCGTAGATGATCCATTCGACAGAAAATACCCTCAATATTACTTGTGAACTTCAGCCACGTATTCTTCCTTATTCTTTCTTACATCCTGACTGGAAATCATCACTTTCATCCCCTTGTATTTCCGGAATCATGCCTATGCTCATCTTGAAATTTTACTGGGATTAATATTTCATCTAATAGTACTATTTGCCATGAAAAAAAGTTTGAAATTCGAGAGTCGTCTGAAATTCGATTTTCAAAAAAAGGGCGAAATTTGTCATCACTCTTTAATGCAAATTTTTTTATAAGACAAATTCCTCTAACATTGTGAGATAGGATGTATTATTTTTAAATTGCTATATATTTATAGTACGATGAAAAGCAGCCTTTTTATTTGTCGTTATGTCATATTCTATCTCTCCTCTCGTTCCTCATAGCTCGATTAAAAAGGAAATAAAAAGAAAAAGAAGATACTTACTCGGGGAAAGCTTATGATCCCATGTATTACTTATGGCGCCTACATACAAAGTTCCCAATAAAATTAGTAACGCGTTCAAGTTATTGTCGGTGCAAAGGCCAATTATATCGCCCGGTTTTACACCTTGTTTCTTCAGCCAAAGGGCGCATTTTATGCTGCGCTCACACATGTCGGCGTAGGTCTGCACTTTACTCGTACGAGCATCCACCTATGGAGCAGAAAATCGCGAGCTTTGTTTTCGCGCTAGATTATAACCGTATACGATACATGTAGGATTTTGCGCAAAAGGAGAAACCATCGCCGACAGTTACGAGATGACTTATTCACCCGACTAACGCAGAGTTAAGATACGTGGTTGAAGTCTGCGAAACCATTTTCTTAGGAATCATATGAAACATTTATTTATATTAATATGTATATTAATAGAAATAATATTTTTAAAAAAGAAAATAAAAATCGACATTTTCGTATTTGTAATAATACGTGTACATTTATCTTGTTTTAAATTAACATTTATAAGCGAGGGCGTAAAGTCAGAGCTGAAAGCGGGTTTCCGATAAACGGCGAGTAAAGGAAAAGGGAAGGAAAGAATTATAATGATCACAGATCGAGAAACGAAAAACAAAGGGTTCTAGGATTAGATATATAATTATTATAAAGCGTAAGCGTGGTTTTCCCTAGTTTAATAAATTGGTAAATTCTCAGAAAATGTATCACCATGCAGACATATTACTTTATGACGAATGATAACTTCTGTTATAATACCTCTCCAATAAAATCCGGCTTGCTTTTAAAAATCTTCAGTATTTCTTCAGCCACATTGACAGGGACTTTAGGTATTAATAATTCCTTTCCGATTAAAATATTATCTTCAATCCTAAAATTGCGATCACTATTCGTGCTCTGTAAATTTATATTGAATAAATTCAAAACAGGTTCTCGATGAATAACTGCCCGACGGAAATTTACAAGTTACGAGGATAGTCCCAGAAGTACCTGACCTACCAAAGAAAACACAAAAAATTTTGGAAAAAATATCTTTATTTCTTTACATAGTCTCCTTTTAGTTCAATACACTTTTTCCAGCGAATGTTCAATAGCTTCGATACCCTGTTTATAGTGGGAATCGTCGAGCTCCTCAAAATAGCCATCAACCGCAGACTCACTCTCTTCATTGTTGGCAAATCTTTTACCACCGAGCCATTTTCTCAAGTTTGGAAACAGAAAATAATCCAAAGGGGCTAAATCTGGCGAATAGGGTGCGTGAGGAAACAATTCGAACTTTAACTCATTGATTTTGGTCATCGCGATAACGGATGTGTGAACTGGTGCATTGTCTTGATAAAACAAAACTTTCTTTTTCGCCAAATGCCACCGTTTTTTTCTTGATTTCATCACTCAAACGCTGCAATAATACTCGCCGTTGATTGTTTTTCCTTTCTGAAGATACTTAATGAAAATTATGCCACATCCCAAAAAACTGACGCCATGACCTTGCCTGCAGATAGAAATGTCTTCGCCTTCTTTGGAGTCGATTCTCCTCTTTCAGTCCATTGTTTGACTGTTCCTTCGTCTCAGGTGTGAAGTGATGGACCCATGTTTCATCCATGGTTATGAATCGACGCAAAAACTCGGCTTTATTGCTGTGAAACTTCGCCAAACACTCGATTGAAACATCCTCACGACACTGTTTTTGTTCCATTGTGAGTAATCGCAGCACCCATCTTGCGCGCAACTTTCTCATGTCCAAATTTTCAGTCAATATGCGATGTACAGCACTTTTTGAAATGCCTACCATGTCTGCTAACTCGCGCACTTTCAGTCGACGGTCATCCAATACCATTTTGTGGATTTTCTTCCACCACTTCTAGTGTGGTCACCTCATTTGGTCGACCACTGCGATGTTCGTCTTGGCAGCTCTCGTACGGTCTTGTTTAAACTCTGCCACTTAATATTTTACTGTTGTAAACGAAGGAGCAGACTCCCCCAGAGTAGAATCTAGCTCCGCTTTGATATTGGTTGGACCGAGGCCTTTCAAATGAAAGTATTGTATCACATAACGATGACCAATTTTTTCCATGTTTACAAATTCACTGAGAGTGTTCACTATTGATGGTTGCCAAACAAATACTAAACAACGTAGCGCCGTCAAACTTCAAACTTAAGCTTTATAAGGTTGGCACTTTCTACCATAGTCATTCTTTTCAAACAACAACCGCTATCTATAGGTCAGGTCAGGTACTTCTGGGACTACCCTCGTAATATTTCACACGAAGTAGTAGGAAGATAGTATGTAGTAAATATATAAATCCACATATTAGATATGTCTATTGACAAATTTTAAAGATAAAAAATTTCGTGATTATAAGAAATATTAAAGGCAAATTTCTGGATTATTTAGTTTTAACTACAAGACATTCAATAACCAATTGTGTTTTCTATAATATAATTATTCTAAGACACTTCTTACCTTGTTACTGGTTATTGAATCACCCATTTTGATCAATTATATTCACGCAATAGTTATATTCACTCGTTTACTTTTAAAAATTCCACACACGTTGACCGTCAATTCGAGTTGAAATTCTGATGACTTCTTTTTTGATGTTTACCACTGCGAACTTCAAAATGTGATATATACCTTACTCACTTTATGTGAGTATATTATTGAAAGGAAGAGGAATGGCTTGAAAATGTGCAACGTGTAACTAATATGAGTATGTGAGTAACTTGTGTAAAAGGAGGGGAAAATCATTGATAAGATTAATTATTGATAGGTTTGATATCGTTTGTTGATGCAGAATATACCAAGTTTTCCAAAAGTAACGTTCTCCTCCCGTATCTCAGAATCTGCATTATAGGGAAAAATGACTCATACAAAAGTTTTAGGATTCATAAAGTTCTGTTTCTTTGTGACCTCAAATTTGACCTTGACCTCAACTTTGAAGATCATTTGAAAGTCAATTTGCGTTTTTTAATAGGAACCCCTATTTTTTATTACACTATATTTTTCTACCAATTAATTTGAACAACTTTTGTTAAAAACATTTTTTTATCTGCCTAATATTTTTTGAGATATTTGAGGAAAACTTGATAACTTTTTCAATATTTAACTTACGATATCTCGCTAACTATTTGTCGGAAGAAAAAATAATACTAGACTTTCTTGCTTTATTTAGTCTCAATGTATTGTTACAATAGTGCCCCGATTTTTGTTAATTTAATGATTTTGAAATTTCCAAAAGTCAGTAAGTTAACAAAAGTCAGGTCGTTATTGAAACAGTATATTCTTGAAACTAAATAAAGCAAGAAAGTCTGGTACCACTTTTTCTTCCGACAAATAGTTAGCGAGATATCGTAAGTTAAATATTGAAAAAGTTATCAAGTTTTCCTCAAATATCTCAAAAAATATTAGGCAAATAAAAAAGTGTTTTAGACAAAAGTTGTTCAAATTAACTAGTAGAAAAAAACAATATAATAAAAAATAGGGTTTCCCATTTAAAAAACGCAAGTTGACCTTCAAATGACCTTCAAGGTCATTTGAAGGTCAAGGTCAAATTTGAGGTCACAAAAAAACAGAACTTTATGAATCCTAAAACTTTTGTATGGATCATTTCTCCCTATAATGCATAGATTCTGATGTAACGGTACCGCTTCCCGATCCAGGTGATCGGCCGTACTCCGTTATGTCCCGCTCGCTGCTTTTGCTGGCCGGCTATTGGGCGACGGTGTGACTAGCAGGAGGGAACGAGCAGGATTGATTTGGTCGGTTGTTTGTCGGTTGGTATCTTGAACCTTCTGTCGGGGCTCGTTTACAAAGAAAAACAAATTTACAGTGTAAAACAAAACAAAAAGAACGGTGCGCAGTTGAGATATAATAAAAAAAAAAATGAAAGAAAAGTTACAGCGGTGTAGGTTACGTCGAGCGTTTTAGTTAGCAATGTGCGGGTAAACGATGATAATTGCAAAGCAACACTCGATCACCTTAAAATCACGATAACTAAAACCAAAATATATTATCCACTACGATATTCAGCCGTACTAGGTGTTTGAAAAGAAACGTACAGGGAGAAGAGTGATAATACACTTTAACTGATATTACTACTCGTTTGCTCAGTAAATAAACCCAGTGTACAACGCTTATGACGATATTCGGTTGCTCTAAGCGTTTGCAGCAGAACACGTTCGTAGATCTCTGAGAGTCGCTAATAACACTATAATCACTTTAATTCACTGTAAACAAAATCGACATTCGACGTAGTAAGATTTGGTTACTCCAATTTACCTAGAAGAGAACACACTGATAAATGATAATATTCAGTAATGCTTCGTTGCCCTAGATCGCGGCAAATAAACGCAATGTATACTATCAGTAATACGCAAGTAAATATGATAAACCGTCGCAAGCGACTCGCGACCGGTGATATCAATAGTAATCGAAGGAATCTTATAAACGTCGCAAACAAACTGCAACTAGTAATAACGCTAACACACAGATAAATGTTATGAACCGTCGCAAACAACTCGTGACCGATGGTATCACTACTAACCGAAGGAATCTTATAAACGTCGCAAACAAGCCGCTAATAGCACCGATAATAGCACTAACGCACAGACGAATATTATGAACCGTCGCAAACAACTCGCGACCGATACGATTAATAACACGCAGATAAACATTAAAAACCGTCGAAATCTGATCGTGAGAAATAGTGGCAGCTTACTGTAATAATAAACGTATTGACGGGTACTTAGAATTATTAGACTTGTTCTACGGCGGTGGCTAACTGCTGCCGACGCAGACGGACAAGCACTTATAATTTTTCGGAGACGGTGGCTAACTGCTGCCAACTCACGTGACAGAAACTTATAATTATTCTGCGACGGTGGCTAACTGCTGCCAACGCAGACGGACAAGCACTTATAATTTTGCGGAGACGGTGGCTAACTGCTGCCAACTCACGCGACAGAAACTTATAATTATTCTGCGACGGTGGCTAACTGCCGCCGACGCAGACGGACAAGCACTTATAATTTTGCGGAGACGGTGGCTAACTGCTGCCGACTCATGCGACAAATATTTATATTATTCTTGACTCGGCGGCTCGCTGCTGCCTCAAATCAGATAGAGTGGACTCATGAATCTCCTGCGCGCGGTGACAAGTGCGGAGCTTTGCTGGGTGAGCGCGGTCCATCAGATTTCGTCGATCTTCCCTGGTTGTTCGGCACGGTCGGGAACGGAAGATCTTCTCACTGGTCTGGGCCTCACTTATCTCAGCTTGCTTCTTCTCCGGTTGCATGAGCCTCTCTCCGGTCTTGCTCTTCGGGAAGTCCTCGTACTGCTCGGTGCTTGCTGCCACTCGGGAGCTTTGCTCTGGAAGACTCTCTCTTTCTCGTCGGATGAACGGGTTATATATACCCTTAGTTCTCTTGCTGGGGGTAATCGGCTGGTAATCGGGGGGATTACTCCCCCCCCCCTGAATTCTCAGAAATTAGTGCATGCGTTTTCGCGTGTTACCCCTTTTATTCCAGATTGCGGATGTTCTTCGATCGTTTTGCCGATGATGCTCGGTGAGATTCGGCTGTTTGAGCCTGATTGCCGCGGCACGGGTGGTCGGTGCGGTTTGAGGGGGGCTCGCGGCGGTCGTCGGCTGTGCGACGAATGGTTGTTACTTAGCCCTCGTTACACTGAGATCGGGGAGAGGGGTCCGTTACTTTTGGAAAACTTGATATATTTTCTTTACCTTGTGTGAATCGTCTATAAACTCATCATAATTTATAAGGTTCGATAGATTTTATAACTAAATCTCTTACGTATTAGATAAAAACAAATTATTGTTGAAATAATTGCTGTCGTTAGTTGTAGTCCGTTGTTTACCTACTTTATAAAAAAAAGATCTAGCATTTTATTGGTTTATTTTAATTGTTACTTAATTTGACAAAAGAACATAATTTAACCGTAGGGTTGAACCACTGAGTGAAACATTTTATTGGAAACTTTTAATTCTTTAGTAATAAATAATGCGAAAAAATTACGGGTATCTCGATTGCTTTATTATAGATAGAATATATATTATAAAATAATATATACATACAGAGCATTTATACATACATATTCGGAAAGTCTGGCAACGGTCTAATATTTTGAAAAGAACGCATTTTACAAAAAGATATTTCAAAAGTTGTAGAGTTTAAAAAGGTTTATTAATAATCTTATCAATTTGGTCCTGAATGGCGTCTATAATATTAAATCAAGATTACTTTGCCTCTTTTTTTAAATAGGACTCTCTGTTTTTTATCAAATTTTTGTAACCTTTTTTGAATAAGCTTCTTCCAAAACGTTGTAACTTTATTCGATTTGAGTAAATTTTTTCGTAGTTATTGAGCTTTTTGTAGTCAGACATCGGCGATTGCAATTCTTAACCCAAGATGGAATAAGGAAATACTCTTGTCGTATTATGGCCGTATGGAGGAGAGAGTGACAGATGATATATATTACGGGATTTTCCCTCTTCTCCATAACATATTTACATATATTTTCATTGAAGACTCGAGTCTTTCGCCATTAATATGCACCGATACCGATCTTACATTAACTTGAATGTTTTCACAAGATTATATTTTCGACACGATAAAACTCCCTCGTTGACTGTGCAGTTCGCCGCGCTTTAATCCACATACATTTCTCGCAGCTGCTTTCTCGAGATTTTGCCGGTGGCCGTGCGCGGCAATTGATCCACGAATTTAACGCCGCCGCGTAGTTTGCAATGATCCGGCATGTTTTTCTCCACAAACCTGACTAGCTCCGCCTCTGTTATCTGCGTGTGAAATGTAATGAATCTGCGTGTACAATGAATGCGATGTCGGAAGCGTGCATAGAGGCCAGTATAGAAATTTTAAATGCATCGCGCTGTCCGTAACTGCAAGATAACCGCGCGTCCGCCGGTTATCTTGCAGTAATCCTCGCGATACACTTACCGATTTATCCGGCATTCGGTGTACGAAAGCCTTCGGACGTTCCTCGTCAACTTCATGGGGTATTCCTATTACCGCCGCTTGTAGCACTGCCGGATGAGTAATTAAAAGAGTCTCGATTTCTCCGGGCGAGACGTTGATACTTCGAAAATTGATAAAGTCGGATATCCTATCGACAATATACACCTCCCCGTTGTCATCGTAATACGCCAGATCGCCGCTGTGTAACCAACCTGAAACGTTTCGCATTACTCTGTGTTATTCTCTGTCTCTTCCTCCCCTCTTTCCTCCTCCCCCCTCACTATTTCTCTCTTGCTCTCTTTCTGTCTGTCCCTATATATAATGTGTATAATAATGTACAAGCTCTCCGAGCTGGTATTGCTGGTTTTGATATCGTTGATATCGTTGGCCAGCTTCCATCGAGCGTTCGAGATTCATCGTACCATTGGAATCGAAAGCCCGTTTTGTCTCTTCCGGATTATTGTAATAACCCTTCATCATAGTAAGGGTTTTCAAACGTAGTTCCCCGACCTTGTTAGGTCCAAGCGCTTCCTCCGTTTCCTGATCCACTATCTTTATGCGGACGTTACTTGATACGTAACCCACAGTTCCTAGTTTGGTAGTTCTAGTTTGCGCACAGCATACACATGCCGTATCGGTAGTTCCTACGCGAAAACAAAACAGACTTGTTGTTACAACTGAAAATCTCATCTTTACCACTCGCACGCGTGCAGCGAGAAACCTGATTTTGCTTTTAAATTATTCCAACAAATAGTATTTTTTTCTCGAACTGCGTGTCGGATATTTCTTCTAAATTTATTATACATTATATTGTCTTCAAAGCATCGTTAACTTAAATTCCACACAAGTGGATCGCATCTCACGTCAAGCACCATCGTGTTAGAGGTCATTATGCGGTGGAGGTATAACGGGATATTACAAGGTTAAGATTCTGCTCGATGGAAATTATAAACGCGTACACGTGCTCGGGGGAGCTTCGGGCTAACATGAGTTGGAGTTTTATAATTGAAGTTTAAATACAATGGAGAGTGGGGAACAATAGATAATACTCGCTTGATTCTATCGGATCGACCCACTCACCGTAATGATTCGTAACGAAGACATGGGGTAATTTCTCGCGCAGTGCTTCTAGATACTCCTTTTTGAGATGGGCGCCGCTAGAAAGAATTATCTTCAAGCTTGGCAACCGATATTTGTCGAGCAATTTGCTCTTAGTCAATTTGATTAACATGAACGGATCAGTGCCGAACCATGTTACCTGTAAATCATCAAGGCAGTGTTAATCAAATCGGTCTCGAATCTGTCGAATCTGCTCAAGAATGACTTTTCTTCTTACTCGATATTTTTCGATAATCTGACAGAAAGCCTCGGCGTCGTCGTTGTCCGGTACGATGATCTTTTTCGCGTTCGCAGCAATAATCCTATAAGCCATCAGAACACCGTAATGCCAACGCATTGTGGGTGCGACGATACATGTATGGCCCACTAAGTCGCGATTTTTCTCGGGATGCATGCAGCAGTGCAAAGAATAATGCGAGATCATCGTGCCCTTTGGTAGACCCGTAGTGCCCGAAGAGGGAACAATGATAGCAACGTCATCCGGCTGTGTAGTGAAGCACTTAAATTCGTCGACATCGCGAGTGTCGTGATCCCTCACAACGTCCTCCTCCAAGGATTCGTATCCGTCCAACTTGTCGAGGGTCACCACTTTCAAGTTCATGCCGAGTTCCTTAGCCGCTTGCGTTAAACTCGCGGCCGATGAACTTATCGTGAAGACAATTTTTGGCGATGTTAGAGAGAGGAAGTATCGTGCCGTCACTAAACACGTGCGAGTCGATTAGTTAAAAACGCACGCGCGCTGCACCTTTCTTCGCACATTGTCTAAATTTATCGCAGATCTACTTGTAAGATAAATTTTTTTAGCATCGTAAGATAATATATATTTTTTTTTAAATTGCCGGACTTGCAGCAAGACGAGATGCAGTTTTTATTTTAATTGTCGTTATTTTAATTGTCGTTGCGTGTCGTACTTTATCTCTGTCTCTTTCCCATGATACGATTAGAAGAAGAATGGAGTAGAATAAAAGATACTTACTCGGAGAAAGCTCATGATCCCAAGTATTACTAATGGCGCCTATGTACATAGTGCCCAACAAAACTAGGAACGCTTCCAGGTTATTGTCGGTGCACAGACCGATTATATCGCCCGGTTTCACACCTTGCTTCTTCAGCCAAAGGGCGCATTTTATGCTGCGCTCGCTCATATCGGCGTAGGTTTGCACTTTACCCGTAAGAGCATGTACCTGCCGAGCACAAAATCACTGTGTTTTCGCGTTTTTTGTCTTATTTTAATCGTATATTATATACGCGGGATTTCACACAGTTCGGAGCGGAGAAAATCGCCGCCGACACATATGGATGTTATTTATTCGTCCATGTAAGACAGGATTAAGGTAGTTGGTTCGCGAAACCATTTTCTTATCTTTGAAGCCTTTGAAACATTTTAATAATATATGTGAATATTAATGAAAATAAAGCATTTTTATAAAAGAAAATGAAAATTGTTGTTGTTGTTGTTGTTGTTGTTGTTAATGTTTTCGTATATTTATAATAACGCATGTGTACATTTATCTCATTTTAAATTAATATTTATCATTTAAATAGTTTAATAAATTGGTGAATCCTCAGAGAAAATGCATCACTATGCGGACACACTACCTTAATGACACAGACGATAACTTTTTCTAAAATACCTCTCCGATGAAGTCCGGTTTGCTCTTCAACATCTTGAGTGTCTCTTCGGCCACATTGATGGGGACTTTGGGTATCGATAATTCCTTCCCGATTAGAATGTTATCTTCAATCCTAAAGTCACTGTTGTTGCTCTGTAAATTTACATTGAATACATTCGAAACAGGTATTCTCGACAAATAATCGCCCGACAAAAATTTGCAAGTTTAATACTTTGCACGATGTAGTAATGTGGAAGGTAGTGTGTGGAAAATGTATAAATCTCAAGGTTAGATATGTCTATTGACGAGTTTTATAGATAAAAAATTTTCAAATCACAAGAAATGTGGAAGGCGATAATTATTCGACTTTAATTACAAGACATTCGATGACCAACTATGTTTCCTATAATGTAATTATTCTGAAATGTCTCTTACCTTGTTATTAGTTATTGGTTCGCCCATTTTGATCGATTTTGTAATAATTACTTTCTTAATAATCCAGCACGCGCTGACTGTTGATTCGAGTTGGAAGTCGTATAAAATCTTTTCTTTGCTTTAATCTTGGCGCTGCAGGATACAAAATGAGGTATGGAGAATTATTCACATGATGTAGGTGCGATGATAAATGAAAAAAGATTGGCTTGAGGTGTACGTATTAGTGCGACAGCGGGGATTGATTTGGATAGGAGTAGGGGAAATGGCGCATTTAGTGGGGTAACTGATAATTGTTATTGTCGTCATGTTTGATGCCGTTTATATTATCACAAATATTTAGCTTATCTTATATAAATCGTCTATAAATATCTTATCCATTTTGACTATCAATGTTTCCATGTTCTCCGCAATTTTCTTTTCTACAATGAAAAGAAGGACAATGGAAAGAAGGCTGTACAAATTTGTACAATCTCCCTGGTCAATGATAGATTTTCATATCATATAATAAACGATAAGTAATAATCGGCAGATATGACGTAAAATCGGATTGAGATCAATATTCAAACCTAAACCTAACTCTAAAGTTCAAATAATCGCGACAAATAATCAGAGTTCTTTTCGAACGCATGATACGTTGTTACGTGATTACGTAAAATAAGTGATTACGAAATCTTGTATGATATACATCGATGAATGGAAAATATTTGGTCAATCAGAGAGTTTGATAGATTTTATAATCAAACTTTTTTTCCGCATTAGATAGAAGCAAATTATTGTTGAAATAATCGGTTGTAGTCCGTCGTCAACATTCTCTTACAATATTTATACACCTACTCTATAAAAAGAGAGGTCAGCCACATTTCGTTGGTTTATTTCGATTATTACTTAATTTGACGAAGAAAGCAAATCATTTAACCGTAGATTTGTATAATTGAATTTTATTCAAACATTTTATTCAAAATTTTTAATTCTCTAGTAATAAATAATACACAGAAATATATGTATTTCGATCTCATAATATATATTATAAAGTACAATACTTATTACAATAGATAGATACAATTGTAATATATAGGGTGTTCCAGGTCACCTGAACAATCTCTCGTGAAGACGTAGAGCGAGACGAAGCGAACACAAAAGTCCTAAACCGTTTTGCAAAATTTGCAATAATTTTCAAGAAATTAAAAAATCAAAGGAGATGGAGGAGTGTTCGAGCCTTTCGAGCCGTAACATAGCCCAATTTATCTAGTAACTGCCTTCTACATTCACGATTAATTATTCAATTATTATAAGCGCGAAGGAAAAGAGAAAGAGCCGAAAAGAGCCGCCGAAAACAAAAGTCGCCGCGATAATCGAAGGAAATGAGGACGAGGATGACCACACACGGTAGAAAAAGTGACACGTACTTGAAGTAATTTAACGATAACAGATAACAGTATTTATTCTATTACAAAAATCGTGATAAAAGCAAAGAGAGTAAACAATGAAGAGGGTCTCCTTCTCCTGGTCTTAAATATCGCTACTCTTAATATTCGTTGTCGAATCGTCCTAAAGGCTTCTTATTGGTTCACGTCGATATTGTTGTGCCAGCGGATAAAGTTAACGAGCCGTCGTATTATTCGAAACATGATTATCGATATAATATATTGGCAAATATATGCTGATCAAAGATTCACGAATAATAGCTAATAATCAGAATAACAGTTTTGGTCACCGAATTTATTCGTCTGAGACGTCTGTTTATGTTTCTTATTTAACTCGTTCTCGATAATCTAACGGTTTTAACATCTAATATTCCGCGGTCTTGACGGAGTTTATCCGCTAACTGTTTACATTATCTTTAATTTCATAAATGAAAACCTCTACCTTTCATTATATATTCTTGTAGCTTATTTCGAGAGTTTTTTAAAACAATATGATAAAGTATCTTTTTGTCGATTATTTTTCGAGTTATGAAGCTTGAAACTTTATAGTAACGCTGGCGAATAAAAAGTGCCTGCCGCAGTATTTTACGTAACGTTGTTTGTCATTCGAAGAATACGTTCGTCTGACAATTGGCTTGTTAACTAGGTTAACTCTGAGGTTAACTGTGTCAATGTTGAGCAACTTTTAAACTAACAATTTATTGCACGGAACCGTTGATTCTCGATGTGTACAGCAGAGAGGATTTACTACATCTTATCTATAATATATTGACACGTATACATGCATGTATGCACGCACACAACGGAGATGTAAATCTAAAAGAAAACATAACGCGATATACCTCAGATAATATTAATGCCGGGGTTATTATAATTTTGTTAAACTTCGTAATTCAAAAAGTACTCGATGAGAGAATATTTCATTATAGTGTTTTAAAAAGTTCTTGAGGTAAGAATATGCAATGTGAAAAATGGAGAGATTTTCATTAAAGAAACTGAAGATCAACAATTTTATCCACTATCTTACGTCTACCTTGAAACTATAAAATTTTTGTTCAAAACATTTTTTTTTCTGAAACCCTATAATATCCAAATATTTTATTGTTAAAAATAAAACGGGATATAAAGGCCCTGCATATAAGTTATATAAATTAAATGTGAGTTGTACAAACACATACATACACATACATGCATACATGCAGGCAAACAAAAAATCAAAATGTTAAGTTTGGAATTAATATTAAAATATTTAGAAAAACAATTAAAAGTTTGATACACACAAAAATTTCTCAAGTAATTTAGTTGACGTAACTTTTCGCCAATAGCTTCAGTTTCTTCTTATCAACTTTTCCAGTACTGACGCGCGGAAAGTCATCCACAAAATGTATTCCCGCTTGAAGATGGCAATACCACGGTAAATTCTCGTCAACTAGATCATGCAGTTCCTCCTTCGTTACCTGAAATAAAAGAATTGTATTATTTATATAAGTGAAAAATATTAATATAGCTCCGAATATCAATAATATCGCATAATTATTGTGCGCAATATCTCACCTCTTTGCCGGGTACTTTTTGAACGAAAGCCAATGGATGTTCCTCGTCAGTTTCATGTGGCACTGGAACTACCACGGCCTTGAGAACCGAAGGATGAAGCTCGAGTACCCCTTCGATTTCCGCCGGTGACAGATTAATAGATTTGTAGTTGATGATATCCGAAATCCTGTTGACGTAGAAAATCTCGCCGTTCTCATCGTAATACCCTATATCCTTGGTGTGCATCCAACCTGTGTGCACATACACGTATCAATACAACTACTTCGTTCGAGTTTTTCAACGTACCAAGTCTTTTGACAAAAATTTACATTGCATCGATATCTCTCCTCAGATAAAGTGCCTCTTGTATGTAAAGTGTCGCAGAAAATATCGTTACAGAAAGTATCATGTTTCGCTAGTCGAAGTACTAACCGTCCGAGTCAAAGGCTTCTTTAGTTTGTTCGGGATTTTTGTAATAACCGTTCATCATAAATTTCGACTTGATACAGATTTCGCCTCTCATGTTGGGTCCCAGAGTTACGCCAGTTTTTTCGTCGGCTATCTTGATTCGTGTGCCTTTGCTCACAAAGCCGCACGAACCTGGCTTGCTATTTTTTGCTTGGCTCGCGCACAAGCCGCCAGCGTCAGTCAGGCCTGAGGGTATAATCGCATGTGTTCTTATATATCATGGATCAACATAGCAGTAACGCTTTATGTTCGGGACAAATTTGCTCCCGACGAGACAAGATATTGTCGCAGATACTAAACTTACCGTAGCATTGTAATATTTGCGCATGCGGCAGAATTTTCGCGACAGTTTCGTGAAGTTCCTTGGTAAAAGATGCCCCACTAACTACCATCTTCCTCAGAGAGGGCAGAAGATGTTCTTGGAAGATATTCATTTTGACATAAATTTTGGGGAAGCTGGGGTCGGTGCCGAGCCATGTTGCCTAATAGAATCATACATTACATAGTCGTAAAAAGCTGTCGTTGATAATATTAAACTCTCCGCAAACCAGGTAAATAAGACATCTCTTTGAAATTCAAAAATAGAGATGATCTTTCTTCGCGCTTTGTTTTGAATTGAGGGGGAATATTTTTGCTCGTAATCCGGCAGTTTTAGAACAGGCTGAGCTTAATTTAACCCTCGTTCGCAGAAGGTGAAAAACTTTACTCGACGATTACTCGAGAAGCTCACGTTTCAAAGTTCAAGAGAGAAATCGCGTACAACGACAGAATCTCAATGAATAATTTCTACATTAGGGAACGTTTAAATAATTAATCAGGGCCTAGTGTTTGGTCGTGACGATCGATCCGAAAGAATTAATATCGATCGAGCGACTTTGTCGGCTGTTAGATCGCCGGACCCGACTTATAACTCACCTCGTATTTCTCAATGATCTTGCACAGCGTGACTTCATTAATATTGTCATCCGAGAAACTGATCCATTTGGCGTTCGACAAAATTATCTCGATGCACAGGGTGAGTCCGTAGTGCCATCGTATCGTGGGCACCCACACGCATATCTCATTCTTCGTGTGAATCTCCTCGACGGGGGTGATACAGTGGTAAAGAGACGCGTAAGACAGCTCGGTCCCTTTCGGCATACCCGTGGAGCCGGAAGAGCAACAGATCATCGCGAGGTCCTGAGGATTATCGATTTTTGCGCAGCGGAAGCCGTCGATCTCCGCGCGGCTGACCTGTTCCTCGAGAATGTCCGCCAGGGACACGAACCCTGGCAGACTGCTGATAACTACAACTTTCACTTGAATATTTTCCTCCTTTGCAGCTGCGACCAGATTTTTCACGGATTCCTCGTTCACGAAGACCAGCTTCGGGGTCATTAGCGAGAGGAAGTACCGCGCGGATACTGAAAATGCGCGTATCTCTTAATCGACGAAGTCGCTAGGCAACCTCGACGGCTGCCTACGATGACTCTCGCGCTTGTGAGAAAGACGATGAGGTTGGCCGATCGAATCGGGCTTGTACACATTTATCGAAATTTTATAGCGAAAAGCGACGTACGTTTCGGTACCACGTGATCCCACGGGCAGATTACTCCGCCGATGTATAGACTGGCGAATATCGGCACGCACGTGTTCAAGTGATTGTCAGTCAGTATGCCGATGTTATCGCCTTTCCGGATGCCGTGCTTCCTTAACCACAGCGCACACTTGACGCTCCGTTCTCGCATTTCCGCGTAGGTGCACTCTTGCCCCGTGCTGGCGTCGATCTGAGCATTCGACAAAGATCCTCGTGCAACAAATCACGCTCGATACCTGCGAGGAGCCGCGCGCCTGGCGCGCGTTCTTACTTCTCTACTTTATTCGACTCGGTTCGGACGTCGAACAATTAACAGTTAACACACGCCAGTGCGAGGAATGATAGGGGAATCCTTTTATTCGTTCATCTATCATCCCGCGAGTTCTTAACCGTTTCCTTAGCCCCCGCTCTCGGCTCAGCTTAATTGAAGCTTACGGAGCTACGACGGAGCCTAATCAATCATAAGATTTTCACGTGACGTTACCTGTCCGACGAAATCCGGCTTACTGCTTAACCTATTGAGAACCAGCTCCCCGACGTTCGCGCATACCGGATGAGTTTCCTCCTCCTCCTCCTCCGTGCCAATCAATACGTTCTCCTCGATTCTGAACGACGGCATATACTGGCGAGAAAAGCGAGGATAATATACACACCGTGACAATAATTTCCCTGACGACCCGAACCCGTCACTTCGCCTATCGGGTCTATCGATAATGCGCCTTCTTACCTCGTCGGCTTTCTCTCCGCAGCTCATCGCCATGCCTCTGTAAAAGTCTCTCGGTAGCTTTAGCCAGGTCGACGGTCCTACAGCATACCGACACGCGGGTCATTCTTTATGACCGGCTTTTATCGTTGCGTGTCCCACTACCATTGATAATGCTGAGCAACTGCAATCAATTTATCAGTCGGTTGTCAACGAATCACCGCGATCGCGCGACTGCAATATCTGATAATGCAAAAGTGCGAAGCTGTGTGACTGTTAACCCTCGGATGATGAGGGAAATTGTCGCTCGCTCAAACGGCTGTCTCTCTCTCTCTCTCTCTCTCTCTCTCTCTCTCTCTCTCTGTGCGTGAAATACTAAGCGTATAATCTCCATGTCTCGCGACACGTGTGCCCGCTCGTCTTAATTCAACGATCCGTATTAATGTCAATTAACTTTCGCAAATATTTAATGTTGAAATCCACCCGCGCGCGTGCGCGTGTGTGTCTCTCCCGTCGACCTCCAGGACACACACATATACACACACACACACACACACTCGCACGCATATACACGCATACGGAGCCAGAAGCCGTGCTCCGGGATTATTCCGGCATTTTCGTTGGACGGAATAATAAATTTATGATGTCGCGGGGACTTCCCGTTCGGCGGTTTGCAAAATGCATTTGCGCCGGACGATAAAAATACGCTTACCGAAACGGGATTGCATTTGGGGCGTGTTGTATGCATCGCGTCGATTCGACGCGGCGATAATTTATCGTTCGCCGCGCCATGCTGAAATTTTTCCGCTGCGCACTCGCGTGCCATACTGTCCGATCTGACAATGCTGACAAATGTTGTTTCAGACGCCACGGGGTGACGAGCCGGTGGCAATGTCCGTTCGCGGTATGGAATCTTGCCGGATGCGCGCGCACGCTCGCACATGAAATTTACACGGGAAATAATCGCTGTGTTTTTCCGTCGCGCCGGATAATGAAATAGTAAACACCTGTTTGTCCGCCGCCGCGGGACCGATTAAAGCGGCGCCCCGCTGCAATAACAAAACGTTTCTATGCTTTCCGAACTACTTGAAGATAGCTGTAGATAATAGCGCAATAACTACGTATATCGATGCGATAGAGCGATCGAAGAAGCTCGGGAAAATCTTAGGGCGCGATAAATGCCAGAACATTTGCGTCATGCAATATACGCGATACTTCATACGTCATAAATATTATCTATTAGATGACTCATTCAAGTAGCGTGACCGACCGCTTACGATCGTCTACGACGCCTTCGGCGAGACATTTGCACGAGGAGTGTGAGAGAGCATCGCCGAGCTCCTCGAGATGGAATCACGACGCTGTTTCGAAATGATCGCGAAATATTCTCTTTGCCGCGCTCGAAAGACATTTCGAAGATATCCTTTTTCTTGCGCACACATATTATCTGCCGAAGCGCCTCGGTTTTTCCCTGATTCGAGAAATCAAATCTTATCGGCTTCTCGGGACTCATCGCCACGTCAATGCCACCGTCAATATTGCGTTATCGTTTCAACGATAAATCATTTCTCAATCTGTAACGCTTGTCGAGGATCAATAACGATAATAAAGCCTTAGCTGCGAGAGCCGGTGCAATGCTCTCGACGATCGCTGCTCGATATTGATTTTATTTTAATCAACCGTGTCGACTTTCATTATCTCATCCGCCGTTGTGTCATTAATATTTCTGTTTCGAATATTACATCATACCGGCAGCTAGCTGTCAAGAAGCGAGAGATGCGCGAGTTTCACAAAGCTGCAACACACGCTCGCATTCAGCAGGTCTCAACGGAAACCGTTCCGTCCGAATGCGCCGATCATGCGGGCGATTACCGACGAGGTGGGAATCGATCGATCGTTCGATCGGTCGGTCGGTCGGTCGGTCGGCCGACCGGCCAATCGGTCGACGACGCGAATCGATGTCCCGCTTTTGCAACGCGGCATTTCGACACGCCTCATCTGCTCACAATTCGCGATACGGCGGACGATCTTGACGCGAGTTGACGCTGAGCTTAACCCGCACACCTCTCGCCGCTCGTTATCTCGCGATTTTATCGTTCACGTGTCGCAATTTTCCCCGCCGCTCGGGAAACAGTCGCGCTACCTGCGCTCGTGCAATAGTCACGTTGAATTTCCAGCGAGATTGCAAGGAGTCCGTTTCACGAGAGAGGGCTTCCTATTCGGACGGACGTCAGCCTTTCTCTCAACGGCGACGCTGTGAAATTTCATATTTCTCGCACTCGTAACCGCGCGCTCGTTTCTCTCTCCGGCTCGCCGATACTCCTCGGCTTTCTTATTCTCGCTTCGCACATGTCACGTGGCTCCTCCTCCCGCCGCCCGCTTCCACCGGGCTATTATCGCCAGTGAAATTATAATTCCACTTAGACCGATAGTTAGATTATTAACCATCGCCGGGATCGGACGGCCTTGGACTCGGCCCGCGCTACGCACGCTGAGATCCTGAGTCGGCGTCGTGTAGGTATATTAGTCGATATACTATATCGCTCCTTCGCGAAATTTCTCGGAAGAAGGGGAATAATGTCGCTCTCGACGCTTCTTCTTCTTCTTACCAATTTTCCTTTTGACGGTGCTGGTGACGATGCTGCTGCTGCTTGCGGTCGCGCGTGACAATGTCTCAAACGAATCCAACGTGCCCGCGCGAACGCCTGCGGAAGTCTTTCCGATTTCTCTGCATCGGCTCCGTCAATCCCTCGATCGACTGACGAACGAGAAATTTATTTTAAAGAGGACTGACCGGAAGCACGCGAGAGACACGAGCACGAAGCAAGTCGCGTACGTTCCAGCCGTGAAGCGTTTCGCTCTGCCGTGTCGCGAACGGCCGGACGAGCGTCCCGCGGGAGTTGCTTTATGGTTGTTTTAGTTCGGCGCGAACCGTAATAATTTAATTAGATCCGACTTGCTTACTTATTTACTTACTTACTTATCTAACCCCGCCGGCGGTGGTGTGCGGAACCACTTTGATTTTAAAACTGGACGACTACGCGCGAGAACCAAATTATCTCGGCGCGTTCTTCTTTCCGAGATCACTCGCGAACGCTTAGTCAAGTTCGTCTCTTGTCGGATGGCGAAGTCAGTAGCCAGACTGAATGCGGACTCTAGAGCAAATATTAAAACTTCGTGGCAGTTTTGTGCACGCGGCTTTTTACGTTTGAAGGTGACTGTACGGGGGCATAACCGCGGCAATCGTCGCTTCGTGCTTCTCTCTTTCCCTTTTTCATTCCTTCCCTTTTCCCCGATGCGCTTTTCTCCTCTCCCGCCCCCCTCTCTCTCTCTCTCTCTTTCTTTCTCATATTCGCTCCTTCTCTCTTTCGGAGAGATTTAAAAATTTTCAAATTGGACGCGTCAGCACACAGCGACGTTTAAGCGTAGTTTAAGCGCTGATACAACTTCGTAATCTCTTTGCTTAATATTATTACGTGAACACATCCGAAAATATTTCCTAGATAGTTTCTTTTTTTTTTTCTCTTTTTTTTTCTTTTACAAAAGTTGATGTTTTATCGCATCGGCACCACTGGGCGACGCGTAAGCACGAGCTCGCTGCATCCAGATAATTCTGTAGAGTGTAGACAATCATGAGGTGCTACTCTCCGTGTATATCTGCACAATTTTTTCACGTGCTCCTTCCCCTAGGTGCTTAATCGCGAAAGATATGCGATTACTCATTTGTTGTTTCGCATACACTCCGACAGAGCGATAATCTACAATATACATGTAATTAATCGACAATCACAGCCTATCGATGATACTCTAGACCATACTTACTGACAGAGATAAAATCGCATAGTTTCGACAAATTATCGGACTTCCCCGAACGTCATCGTGCACGAACAATAACAACCCTCATCGTGCAGAATGCGTTTTAATTATACGGTACGGTGAAAGTCCGAGTTATCCAGACTTGTAATCGGAAAACATAACGCCCGAAGTAATCGAACAACTGCATTTTAATGCGAGGCAAAGTTACTTACTCCGCGATATTTTTGCGTTTTCGATTCGATTACCGGGACGACGTTCGAATAATCCGAAACAAAGTGTTCGGATAATCCGGATTAAACTGCGTAGCATTTGCTATTACGATGCACATTGCAACAGCAATCGACATTAATTATGCAAATGCGTAAATGGACGATGGAGAACTTTAACGCGCGTTTATCAGCCATTCGCGCTCGTAAATACGTAAAATTCGATGGCAGATATAATTCATCGACCCGGAATCGCCTTGCGTGCGTTATATTCGCATACGCGTCCTAAGTGCACGTTAATGCAGCCGCCCGTTGTATTACGCGAACATTGGGGCTCGCGTCAAATGAGAATACGCTTTTGTCTATCCTCCTCGCATCTCTTTCTCCTCCTGCTATTGGACGCGATCAAGACGCACACATTTCCCCCTCTCCCCCCTCCCCCTCTCTTCTCTCTCTCTCTCTCTCTCTCACTCTCTGTCGCGGTATCTCATAAAGTTTCTGCCGCTCGTCGAATTTCTCTTTTTGTAAGTAAGGGAAAGGCGGGTAAGAATACGCGGCGTCCAAGAGTACGAATGCTTAATAAAAATTAAGGTATTTCAATATTGGCGAAACTGACAGTCTCGATGCGTTGAGTTAGTTACTAAGAATAACAGGACGTGTTACTAACGCTCTGTTGCGATTACTCTAGTTATTAAAAAAAAATGCCTTTTTGTGTTGCTTGATCATTTCTTTCAATTTTATTTGAGTTTAATAAAGAAACAGTAAAAGCGAACAAATGTTATTTTTCTTTTGTATATCCTAGAAAGAGGGATATCTTCGTAACAATTTATTTATTTATTTATTTATTTGACGCTCTACGGGTAAACACCCTTTGGTATACATAAAATTGAGATGACTAATATAATTGAAGATCAATCAAACTTACATATAATGAAAAGTATTAAAATTACATATGTCAATAACTAAAACACTATATACGAAATTATTGAAAAATGCAACGTTTAGTGCACATGAGGAAGCAAAATGCGGCGAAAATTGCTCCTGAAAGCATTCAATGAGTCATCGAAGAAGTCAATGCGTGTCGAATATCTATTGGCTATCATTAACATTCTATTTGTTCAGCTGAATTTACCATAATTCGTGCGATGCCTTTCAATGTGGAACACGTCCCACGATCGAATAAGCTTAGCTGATATATAAAATTTACATGCGGCGAGGATGGCAGAGCAATTAATATGATTGTGCAGAACTTTAAATAAAAATGTTAGATCAAGTATTGCACGTCTAGATTCTAGTGACAATAAATTATGACGTAAAAGCTTAGGCACATAATTGTGATCCGCAAAATGCATAGGATCATTCGCAAAGGACCTGGCAAGGCGGAGAAAGGCGGTGCTGAATCCTTTCAATCAGAAGACAGTGATCCTTCTGACAATAGCACATGTTCTTCAATTACATGGCATGCAGGGGGCAGATTGGTGCTGCTTATTGTAAAACATTATGTTCATGGCTAAGAGTATGGGTCCAAAAGTACGCATGTACTGTTGGACTCATGTGCTTCTATGTCGTGTTATTCTTTAAATGGTTTAATTATGGTTGAATTAGTTTACGTATTGTAGGACTGACAAGGAAACGGTCGGAACTGTCCCTCACCGATTTTGATGGGCTTTGGATATGTTGTAGAGCAACAAAAACTATTAGATACATATTTTTTTTATGTGCGTATCTCAAGGTTTAGGGGATAAAATAACCCCTCGAACATTTTCATTTTATGTGAATATTTTCTAAGGTACGAGGTATATGAAAAAATTTCTTCTACTAAAGTTTTACAGTACTTTATACTGTTTGCAATGATATATTCAGATTTTTCATAAATGGCAAAATTTTCAACTCCCCCCACGTACCCATTAATTCTGCAAAATTAAAAAATTTCCTGAGAACAAAAATTGAAGAGCATTTGATGCCGAATCCATCCATATATAATAATACAATATGGTCATGATTAATTTTTACGATATTTAAATGATATCGTTGTTCTATGGGATATAAGTGCAGAAGGAAAATATGTTCCACCAGCAGTTATCTTCTAAAGGAAAAAACGGAGGATAAAACTGATTGATAGAGCCCCACCAGGAACCCTTCTGCTCACTTCTGGTTCTGGGTTTATCAACAATGAACTTTTTGTTGAAACACTTCAGTAGACAAGAGAGTGTGAACTAAAGTGAACTAAAGAAAATCCAGCTTTGCTGATCTTAGATAACCATTCTACACACATTAGCATTGCAGCCATCGAGAAATACAGGGAATGGGGACTACATCTCTTGAGTCTTCCCCCTCACAGCAGCCACAAGATGCAACTCTTTGACAAGGGAATTTTTGATCTGTTGAAAACGGCATATTCTCAAGAGTGTAACAAATGACACATTTTATATGGCCAGGGAGAGCCATCACTCAGTATCAAATTGGAGAACTCTTTGGAAATGCTTGCAATCGGGTTGCTTCAATTGATAAGGCTGTTAAGTCATTCGAATCTTGTGGTATATACAATGAGGATGTTTCCAATGATGAAGATTTTGCTCCTGCTACTGTTACGGAATGTCCTGCTCCATAAATGCCAGCTGAAGACCATGTAACGGAGAAAAATACAAAAGAAATTTCACAAGACACTCAAAGCAACGTAATAAATGAAGAGAGACCTACTTGCAGTCAACTGTCTACTTCTACGCAGATAACTCTTTCTACACCAAACCAGAAGCCAGGACCTTCCAACGTGTCTCAAAAAGACATTCATCCTATTCCAAAGTTATAGGAGGCTGGAGAGAAGAGGAAGCGCAAAGGAAAATAGTCTCAAATATTAACAGGTTCGCCGTTCAAAAAGACTCTGCAAGAGGAACAAGCATCCAAGAAGTAGGATTGCAAAAGGAAAAACCTGAAGACGAAGCGTCCACGAGCAACAACTGAGAAGACTGTGATCGCTTGCCCTCTTTGACATAGAGGGAGAAATATACAGATCCTTCAACATCTGATTGGATAATGTGTGACCAATGTAATATTTGGTGGCACGAGCATTCCATTGATTATAAAAGTCGTGGATTATTTGTTTGTTTTAAGTGAAAGTTCTCTTAATTTTATTATTATGATTATTGAATATTCTGTTCATTTCATTATTATGATTATGTCATTAATAAAAATGTTTGTGCTAACTTGCATAAAACGTAAAAAATGCGTACTTTTTGCGACGGGAAAACCGCTCCAATGGCGAGTGAAATAGACGAGCGAGACGTTCGGGGAATCTCTTGGGTTTCGTCCTTTTGACGAACAATTCCCGCCGTTTCGAACTACAACATTGTAATGATATTTCGTATCGTGGTATTTCTACGCCGTTCACGATGTCCATTTGTATCCAGCGATAACCAGTGACGCGAAATAAGTGCGTGGACCTCTTTCTGAAAAATGCCCCGTAGATAATGCTATCTTGTACGCGCGCGAACACACATACGCATACACGTACTACTTATCGGTGACATTCACTCGCGATCTTATCGCGAGTGAATTTTGTACGTATCGGGAGGACGGCGGCCACAGGCGTGCACGCACAAATATATGCGTAATGGATTTATTCGTGCTGTAACGAACGGGACCAGTTTCTATTTGAACCATTCCCCCGATAATGCTGTATTAATTGGTTTATTATTATAAATACCTTGCGATATGTATTCTAATGTACGTATCGTTACACTATCGTAATATCATATTTCATCGGTAATCACCTAATAAATACGCGGCGCGAGCCACGTGTGTGTACATGCGTTGAAACGGTACTCTGCAAATATAATAGAGAATAGTGCTCCGCCATTTACTTTGGAGTTGCATGAAATTAATTTATTAAAGACACATGACGCGAGAACAACATTGCTACAGAGCATACGCAGAAAAGCAAGTGTGTGAAGTGCCACGAGTCGGGAATGACGATATAAATATGACGCGCGATCCGGTGATATTTCTAATAACGCGACTTCTCTCTCAGCCCGTAACATAACTCTTGGCGATTTGTCTGAGCTCTTTCTTGGCGATCTTTCCGGTGGCTGTGCGAGGCAGCCTTTCCATGAATTTAACTCCCGCGTGTAACCTGCAGTACCACGGCATATTCTGCTTCACCAAGTCGGTTATGTCGAGTTCCGTCACCTGAAATTTACGTGAGAAATTGTAATGTAACGTATGTAGGGCGAGACGGCGAAACTTAGGGTTTGCAGTAAATTGAGACCGTGCGCGCAGAAGCGCGGGCCAATCCTCTTTTTACCGAAGGAAAATAAAAAACACGAGATTTATAGGTAGGGTCAACCTCTTCTCCCTGAGAAAAATTAACCGCCAAACGGGGCGTATGTATCACCTCGAATATCACGCGCGAGATATTTCGGAGGAGATCCACCGCTCGTACGGAAGGAGACGAAAAGAGAAATGTAAGATACAAGTTGTCGGCAATTCGGTTTCGGTGAAAAAGAAAAGACAAGGTCCAAGTCGATATCACCGAGAGTGTAGAGAGAGAGAGAGAGACCTCAAGCGAGAAATTACAAATTCGCGATACAGTTGGCGAACGTTCGAGCTTGAGTCACGGGTCTCAATCGGCCGATGCAATTACCTCCTTGCCGGGCACCTTCGCGACAAAAGCCATGGCGTGTTGCTCGTCGACGCTGTGTGGCACCGGCACAACAGCGACTTGGAGAACTGCGGGATGTTGCTGAATTAAGGCTTCGATCTCCGCGGGCGATATTTTGATAGCTCTGTAGTTGATGAATTCCGACATTCTGTCGACGAGGAAGATTTCGCCGTCGTTGTCGTAGTAACCGAGATCGCCGGTATGCAACCACCCTAAAAAGCGAAAACGGCGAAATAATCAGAGTGTATTGCACTTTTCCGTCATTTTACAACGGGAGGAATATATATTTTCCTATTTGATTTTGAACGTCGAAATAATTACTGTTATATCTAGAGTTTTGATCTTTGCCGCAAGTAGTACTCCCTAAATTTCTTCAAATGAAACTCCAGCCAAAGCGAATGAAAATTTGCTCGAAGCGACTGTCACACGGGCGAACGTTCCGATCAATGGGAATGAATTCGCGACGGTGGAGTATATGGGATTCACTCTTCAATCTCGATTGAAAGTATTCACTCGATGATTCAGAGTGAGGAATTCACTCGACTCTACGAGTGAAGTTTTATTCGAAGAAATTTAGACAGAACTCGGACAGATTGAATAATGAAATTTACTAAGTGAGTTAAAAGGAGTACTTAATAAAAAATCAGGGGGTCATGTAGGTCTTCGTATATGAGAATAATATTTCGGAATTAAAATCTCCCCGTTTCTGGCCCCGAACAATGGCAAGCGTCGAACTATTCCACGCTTACCGTCCGAATCGAGAGCTCTTTTCGTGGCCTCAGGGTTGTTGTAGTATCCATTCATCATGTACGACGATTTGGCCCATATTTCTCCAGTTTTGTTGGCCCCCAAGACCTTTCCCGTGTTAGGATCGACCACTTTCAGCCGTCCTGTTTCGCACACAAATCCGCAGCTGCCTGGTTTACTGTATTTCGTCTGACGGGCGCATAATCCACCATAATCCGTCATTCCTGCAGACAGTCGGCGCAAAAACCGGTTGCTATTTTCCCTCGCATCGCGCATACACGTATATACGTGCACACGTATATGTGCCACGTGCAATTTCAGTAAAACACGCTACCGCGATAACTCGCGTCGGTTTACGACTAATTAGACCGCGAACACTCCAACGAGCGATTTGATAGCGAGTTATCGGAGTAGCGGTCTTGCCAATTTGACGAGTCCTATCTCGCCGGCAACTTACCGTAACTCAGTATGACATTGGTATGTGGCAAAAGTTTCACCAGCTTCTGCTGCAGCTCCCCCTTGAAATGCGCGCCGCCGAACAAAAGGATTTTCAATGTTGGTAGTCGGTACTTGCTTAATACGCCGAACTTCACCAATCGAATGGGGAAGCAGGAATCGCATCTAAACCAGGATACCTGAATGCAAAACGACGCCGTTAAACTCGAACGCTCCCGCGGTATTACTACCTGCACGAGGCGATAAATCACGCGAATACAACTATCGCGGCCCGTTCGTTGTAGACGCGCCTCAATTCGGGCTCCGGTGTTATCCTTTAGCAAATTCGTCGCGCGACATAAATTAACACAAATTAACGCGAGCGCGGCCGTGTAATATCTCGCGATAGCGCGAAACACCCCGCGGCCCTCTTCTCCCCGAAGAATATCTCTAAATAACGCAACTAACGCGCGTGCGCGCGCGAGAGAATTCGGACGTCGCGCCAAGTGCGCGGATAAATCTCAGGCACGGTATCGCCGAATATATTAAATTTTATCTCTGTTGCCTAAACGCGCGATTAATTTCCGCTCCGACGAGAGAGGGCCCCGCGTTGGAAAAACGCCGTCGCTTCGCGAAGCGAGCCCGAAATCAAATCGATCCGGTGCCATCGAAATCCTCTCTCTCTCTCCCCCCCTCTCTCTCGTTTCCGCTAAAATTGCAAGCACGTAATCGCTATTATTCACCGGCGTAACTGACGATCGTTTTATTAATCTGCGTCGATTGTTATCGACCAGTGCAAATGGTAAAGAGTCGCGATATCACACCAACCCGGGGCATTAACGCGCGATCAATCGATCAGCAATTGGTTTATTCGCCAATTCCCACCGACAACGCCGTCTCTCTCTCTCTCTCTGTTTCCCTCCCCTTCTTTCCCTCTATCTATCTCTATCTGTCTATCTATCCATCTATCTCTCCTTCGCTCACTCGCCTCGTACTTCTCGATGAAGCGGCACAGCCCCTCGTCGTCGTCGTAATCCGGCACTATGATTCTCCTGGAGCAATCGAGAATCGCCTTGATGACGATAAACAGGCCGCAGTACCAACGCATGGACGGCGTCCACATGGACACGTGTCCCTTGAGATCGTGGATCTTCACGTGGGCCATATAATTGATCATGGCCGCGTGACTGATCTCGGTGCCCTTCGGAAAGCCGCTGGTGCCCGACGAGCAAACGATAGTGGCAACGTGGTCAGGCCCAGTCAGTTTCGCGCACTCGAATTCGTCAATCGCCGCGGCGTCCTGGGAGCGCAGGACAGCCGTCAATGTTAGCGCGTGCTCGACGGACCCGGCCGAGGCGTCGAACACCACCAGCCTGGTGTCCATGTCGCGCTCTTTGACGACCTGCTTCAGGCACTCGGCCGATTCGCTGTTCACGAACACTATTTTCGGCCTCGTCAGCAAGAGGAAATAACTCGCGGTCGCTGAAACCGAGCAAATCTTCCGTGAATATTTTCGCGCGGTATATATACGGTAGCCGCGCGCGTGAAAAACACTACGGAACTTTCCGCTATTTTCGTTGCCATATTTGCGCGAATTAAAACGGGAACGATCCGCCCGACATTCGGACAGACACGCGCTTTCGGACTCGGGGGATGAAAGGCCGAAAAAACGCGCACGCCGCGGGTAACTATCTCTCGCGCGGACTAGCGCGTTTTTTCATGCTGCGTGACGTCGATTGATTAAAACAAAAACACACACATACACGGCTCACGTACGTGAGCTCGCACGCGCGCGTGGAACAGTGAGAAGAGAACAACGTGGCAACGAATGTTTCGCAATGGCGCGTCACTTTCGGCGCGAAAATCAGATCTCGCGTCGGAAGGCGGTGCGTGGTGTTCGTTTTCTCTCTCCCTCTTTCTCTCCCCCCCCCCTTCTTTTTTGTTTAATGCTCGGCGCGAAAGAGAAGCGAGCGAGGTGGCATGCCAGCCGAGGGAGGCGTGGGAGAAGAGAAGTAACGTACTCGGAGAAAGTTCGTTGTCCCATGGGTTGCTAATGGCGCCTAGGTAGAGCGCCGCGAGTAACGGCACGTATGACTCCAGATGATTGTGAGTGCAAATGCCGATTATGTCACCCGGCTGAACACCCTGCTCTCTCAGCCACAGCGCGCATTTTACGCTTTTCTCCGTCATCTCTGCAAAAGTGGTCTCCGCGCCACTAACCGCTTCCACCTACGCACAAGGGGGAGGCTGATGATCGAGCGTGGGGTTAAGTGGCGAATTTCAGAAGGGAATTTATGTTAAAATCGATCGAACGAGACCTGTCGTCCCCCGCGACCACGTGAATGTATGCGTGGGGAGAGGGGGCATGTGTACGTGTGTATATACATTTACCTGCGCGATAAACTCCGGCCTGCTCCGTAGCTTCTCCAACACCAGCGCCCCGACATTCGTGCATTCCGTGTGGATCGGCGCCTCCTCGCCGATCAAAATATCGTTCTCTGTCCGAAACGTCAAGTCACCCTGAAGACACGCACGTGATGATATAATTAATCTCTGGCCGGAAATTATATCTTTCTAAGTTGTACTTCGCGATTGATATGTTTTCATTTAGCATCAACGATCACTCTGCGCAAAAAGATGTTGCATTATTCGAGCGATCGTGTTGTAAATTTTGGCTTGACGTAATTGACGAGAGATGACACCGTAGCCGCGAAGAAATTCGAACGAGGAGACGTTCGTTTTCTCTCTCTCTCTCTCTCTCTCTCTCACTCCTCCTTCCTTTTTGTTTAATGCTCGTTAATTGCGCGTTAATTGCGACGTTCTCGCAATTTACAACTGTTTACATCGCGATGACAAGAATGTCGATAAATCCGGACGTGACACTCGAGCTCCGCGCAGCGCGCGCGAATGACATTTTAATAATCTCTCACAATGCTCCTCGTGATTGCGACGTACCTCGTCGGTGACGTCTTCGTTCCTTAGGTTCACCATCGCGAAGCACGGAAGGATACGCTCGGCGCGCTTCGAGAAACGACGAGCTGTAGAAATGGATGAAACCGACTAACCCGTATCCTCTCCATCGATTGTGCTTTTATCCGATGCGTTAGATAGCGATATTACGATGACACATTATTATTAGCGATAACATATCAGATCAAAGTATATTGTTACAGCCATCTGTGGAAGGGATTTATTTATGCTTTTTTCGTAGGATCGATTAATATTTCAAAATATTTAGGTACAACATTGCTTCTTCGTCGCGATAAGGTAAACGTACCGAATTACGTCATTGATCCGAATTACGCCACTTTAGCTTATTCTAGGCGTGTAATAAAACACAGCTGAGTACAAATGTCTAGAAATTGCCGAAAAGAAATCGTGATATTATAGTATGTCAAATGACTCCCACTGAAGTAAGTGTACGAAAATATAATGTGATTTTCCGTGAAAACCAATTTCAAAAGCTTATATCAAAGATCTGTCACTTTTGAATATTTTCGACTGAATTTGCTTCTAAATGATTACTGGCTTATGAAGTGACATTGTACCTTATAATATGATAAAATGAGATATTTTTGGGTAGTAATATAAAGTGTTTTAATTTCGCACGATTAAAATATAATAGAAGATGATAAAAAGGTGTAATATTATAAAGGTTTTTATATAATATAAAATGGCGTCATTTGATACATAATCAATGGCGTAAATTGGGACCTACAATTTCAGTGGGCGTAATTCGGGACATTTGCAGTTCACACTTAATTCTTTTATATAAATAAATAATCTTGTTCATTTCTAATTTGTATGTGTGTTTTCGCTATTTTACAATAATAGCTTTTAATAAAATTCATAGTCTTACCTATCTCTCTAACACCACTATACTTTCTTAAAAGTAAACTCTTAAAAATTAGTCTTTGCTTAACATGGCGTAATTTGATACGTTTACCTTATGTTTATCTTTTGATTATCATGAGGCAGACACGGGCGAAGGCGACCCGTGAGATTCAACTGTTTTTAAATAGACGCAGGTGAACACGCTGCTCATGACTTCTGTCGCTGGCGTCTCCCGCGCGATATAAAAATATTTTATTCAATCGTTAGACGTTGCGAAGAGATACAAATCGTCAAAACACCAACAAGCGAATTATGTAGGTTTTCACGCGTTTTTGACTGATCGATCACGAGATTGAGGAATGTCCCCGTGTACGCGATTGGTTACACTGACAAAGAATGAAAAACAAATAATATATGCCGGATTCTTTTTCATATACCGTTAATATTGCTGACGAAAGAACAACAGAAGGAAGAACAGACAAAAAAGCCGGTGACACTGGAAGAAAGACGACGGAACAATAGGGAGAGAGACGCAATTTTTATTTCAACCTTGGTATTCGAAAAATAGCGCGAGTCTTCCGTATGTGGGTCGATACGTGGCGAGTTTTCTTTTTCTTTCTGTTTTATTTTTTTTGTATACGCGTTTAATTTGCTGCAGAATAAAGTTCTGATTTGCATTACTATCTCGTAAGAGTGCGATTCCTCCTGACGGCAAAATTCTAGCGTATTTATATATTTAACAAACGTTGAAACGACTAATTTGGTTTCACTGAAATATTCCGTGATAATAAGTAATGAACAAACGAACGAGCGCTTTGCCAACTTTGGAGGAGATTCGTCCTCGACAACGGATAATCGAAACGGGAATCCTCGGAGAGATTTGATTGAGGGAGAAAATAGAAGGAAAAGGAAATCCCCGTTCGCGAACGTGTTGCGAAACAACGCGCTGTCGCGACGACGTGGCCTCGCAGAGGAAAGAAAAATATTTGCATGCAAGCTCGGACGCGAGTCTCGTCCGCAAACGTTGCGCCATCGTTTCATCGAGCGATACTGAAAGCAACGCTGATTCGACGCCGCGATCTGGCTCCGTTCTGCGAAAATGACTTTAGTATCGATTTTAATCTCTCTCTCTTCAACTCTACCTATCTGTCGATATCTCTTTTTCTCTCTCCTCCTGCCGTTTTTATCTCTCTCTTGCTCGCTGGCAATTCGACGAAATTCATCATCGCGACTGCCTTCCTCGCAAAGTTCACGCTCCTTCTCCTCCTCCTCTCGCCCTGCCGAGCCGAGTCGCTGCTCGGAGCCGCGCAATTTCTTAACAATATCGATGTTTTTGATTATCGCGACAGAACTTGGCACGCCGCATCGTCGTGCCGTCAGGGAACTAATTGGATAACGCTGGTCGTCGGTTCCACTAAGTTCTAACCAATTTATGAATGCGGCAACTTGACATGAGACTGCACTATACGCCAACTCAAGGGAGTGGCCGGGATGCTCCTGTTTCTCAAACTTTCCATCGCCATCGACGATCCCGGTATCCTTGCCTGCTGCCACATCCTGCCGATGTGCTTCCTCCGACGTGCCGACTCTCGGTCGCACAGGTCGTCGCGTTCGCGACGTCGCCCGTTAATCTTTAAGCCAGCTGGGCATCTCGAGCGATCTCGAGCGATCTCGGGGCCAATAAATAATAACCGGTCGAAACGTCCCGACGCGTTGCCCAGGGGCGTCTAAGGGGAGACATTCTGCTTCTCGTCTCGGCTCTATTGACCGGCGGCTCCGCCATATTTCACTGCCACTTAAACTTTCATAATCGATGTATTAACATTTTAATTAACAAATAACGTCCTTGTCGTCCATCAACCTCGATCTATTTATAGCATTCGTGTTACGATCGATTCCATCTTTACGACTGAATCATTCTTTGATCGCTCGATTGTGTATCGCGCGAGGCGACTTCGAAAGTGATATCACTAATCAGCGACAACTCGACGTCCGCAGTGTGTTAATTATATGCACCTGTGAGATTTTCGTGAGATTTTCGTCGATTTGCGATTAGTGCGAATCAGTCCTTTCGTCGGCAAGTGGGAACGGCAATTCACATCGCCGCTGCGACCTGCGCATCGCGCAGGTAGAAAAAAAGTCTTTGAGAAATTGCAACGCTCGCAGTGATGCAACGCTTCATCGAAGCACACCGACGTGGCTCGTGTTAGATCAAACAACTTAACATTCCACTCGACTGATTTTTATCTTCCTGCCGTTGCTTCATCTCATGCATTGCCGTGTAGAGTTTTGCGCACTCGCGCAACAAACGACGTAAGTTTATGCTGTACGATCGTTATTGCGCTTCGATAATGACGTGTCCACCTTACGAGTCACTTTTTATCGTAAATGCGGGATTAATCGAAGCTCAAAGTGATCAAAAAATAAAAGAAAATGAGAGAGAGAGAGAGAGAGAGAGAGAGAGAGAGAGAGAGTAATTTTTCTCGTCTATAAAGAAAAGATTTACTCGATACTTTACACTTTGTTTTTGTCCGTGCAAGTTTCGCGACGCATCCGTATCCGATGCAGGAGAGTCTGTTTTTCTTCTCTTTGCAATTCTCGGGAAAATAAATTTTCCTACTTGCCGTACCGGACGTGTTCAGAAGTTCACCGAGATAAAAGTGTCTCGCCTCGTTCCCTTCGTCGAACGTTTTTTTATTGTGCCACGTCATAAAACCTCGCAAGGACAAGTTGAGCGGTGTACCGTCTATTGAGTGCGTTCTGCAACGCGAAACGATACTTACGGCGATCACAATTACGGTAATTACATTTAATAACGGCAATTACAGCGGAGACAGGCTAATTTTCCGTAAGCGCGCGCCTAAACGTTCATCCACGTATACGGGAAAACCTTCAATATTGAGATAGTAGGCAATGAAGTAGACGATGGCGCGAGAGTTCGCTGTATTTACTTCCTATAAAACTCCGCTAACGTTGATTTCACATCTAGCGCCCACACTCGCCCGCTTTGATGCGCTGCGCTTAATTCCTCCGAGGGAATTAACGGGCGGCAAATAAGCCGCCCGGATTTGCTCTCCCTCTCTCTCTCTCTCTCTCTCTCTCTCTCTCTCTCTCTCTCTCTCTCTCTCTCTCTCTCTCAAGCAGCCTCGCGCGAGTGTTTCGTCCCGTCTGGGTACTCTCGCTTTCTTGAAAACGATAACGACCCTACGCATCCGCCGCAACACGCTCGCGCGCGCGCGCGCGCTCCGCTCGTTACGTCCGCGAAAATCGGCCGAAAAGCGGGCTCGCCGCGACACGACGACTGGATTCTAATTGAATTCCAGCATTGAATACAGCACTGAATACAGCGTGTGTGGCCGCGGGATGAAAGCTGACTCGTGCGGAATCGGCCTAGCTCCGTCCCGGCGTTGCTCGAAGAAGTCCTCCGGGGAAATCTAGGATTTCCCTTCGAATGCCCGAACGCGTTTCTGCCTGATAGTTGACCCGCCTTAGGACTACAGCTTGCCGACCGTGGAATTGCTTCCGCGTCCGTTATCGATACGCTTACGCGGCTCCTAATTATAGTCCTGCTTGTCCCACGGCCAACAAGAGAGCCCCGTTGCCGTGTCCCTCCGAGGCATTACGCTAGGGCGGAATTCAATTCGGCGGGGGCTGTTAATCGTCGCGACACGCTTCGTTCGACACACAGGCATGTCGGAGTGTTTACACGGCGATGCGACGCGCACCGCGACAGCTAATTAGACGTGGATGTAATCAGGCTGCGCGTCGTTAATTCGATCATTCGCCACGCGGAAAGTACAGGCGGCCCGACGTACGTCTAATCAATTTTCACGGGTTTTTCGCGATCGGAGCGGAGAACGCGACGCGACGCGTCGCTGATATCGATGGACCGTTCACATGTGTGTGTGTGTGTGTGTGTGTGTGTGTGTGTGTGCGTGTCTTCGTATCGCGTATAACGAGATTGCGCGGGATTGGTAGATATAAACAAGCACGATTAGATTGGAGTGGAGTGATGCGAGACAATAGTTCCAGGCAATCAAAGATTTTTCTCATCAGCTTTCGTCAACATCGTATCCGCGAATTTTTTTTAATCTCATTTTTCCTCAGATTACTCTTTCATTTTCTATTATTATACTGATTAGTTTCTATAAAATTCGCTAATTTGCCAAATTTCTTCTAACACGACTAAGTGTGAAGAGAAAAAGAGAGAATTTAACACGTTGATTGTCGCGCTGATTTCCACTGATTGTACA